TGAGTCACTTTTTGATTCAACGCATTGTTCTTTATTTTTGTTAATTTCTATCTCTGGTTTTGTTTTTTTGATCATTATTCTAATATGTAGGACAAAGTATAAGATTTCAGTTATAACTTCTATCTCATTTATTGTATTTTTACGTTTTTTTACTTGAGTATTATGTATTGAAATTAAGATAGTGAAGTTACATTACAGATATGCCTTTATAATCAAAATTAAAAATGTATCTGGGATGTAACAGTCCTCCCTCCTTACATTTTTCAACGTCTCGATGAAATTTAAGTCTCATTATTGAGATACAAAGTTTATACTTGAGAATTTTGAAATTGAGAATGTCCTAATCGTGAACTACTTACAGTGTCTACAGTGATATCAATATCCTTGCGCTCTTCTTACATTCGGTGGCGCTTAGATAAGAACGATAAAATTACTACATAGAGTGTTTGTTGTGTTATGATATGTGTTGTTTGTGTTTTCTTATTCATCTTCTTAAGGTAGGTATGGATTTCTTCTTTCTCAGGACGGTCGTTGACTTTTTGTTTCCCATGATGGTGATTTCAAATTGTCAACTTCAGCATTTTGCATCCCTATAAAGGATGGTAGCACCTAGAGCATCCTCAGTGTTTGACTAACTTTTTAAGGTACGGAGTGACAAACGTTTTACAAAAGTAAGAAATTAAACCTTCTTCTCTTTTTTTTGTTATAATTGTTGTGAGTGTTTATTAGTGTTCCAACCCTTCCTTTTTTTTACGTTTTCCTTTAATTATATATTTTTTTGTATAGTGTCTGGAGAAAGAAAATGCACAATTAGTTTGGAAAAATTCTTGCAATCTTTGCAAGTCTTGGCGGCATCAGTTCACTATTCAGTGTTGGAAGTGGACTGTCTTGAGGCGATGTGACGTCCGGGTCGTCCAAAACGAGGAGGATATCAAAAAAGAATTGATATTAAAATGCGGAATACTGAGTTGCGCCGTTTAAAGGAGAAAATTCGAGGAGATTCAGCGCAATTAACATCAATGCTAAATCTAGTGATGTAAGTATAATTTTGATTCTTTGAGTTTTCCTTTACTCTTTTTCGCAAAGTAATAATTCTTCTCTCTCTTTTTTTTTGTTTATTTAGTCGACCAGCTCGTCCAAACGACTGTTACTGTGGAGGATGTGTAACTTCATCCAACCTTGAAAAAGAACTAACAGGTGAAATATTTATGTTATGTGTTTGAATTAACTTTTTATTGATATTGTTTTTCTTTTTCTTTGTGTTTGACAATTTTATAAGAAATTAATTTTTGGTTGTGTAGTAATTTTATGTTGTTTATTTATTTGTGTAGAGCAACATGGGCCAAGGAATTTCGTCGATACAATGGTGTGGATTGATGACGTTCCACAATTTATATCTTCATCTGAGGTTGAAGATAAACCGTTAGACCTCTCAAAGAAGGCTGTTATTGTCAACAAAATATTTCAGCCGAGGATAGTGCTAAAGGACATTAAATCTCTCTTGGAGGATCCTTTGATGCTGGATTCTGCACTTAATTCACCTTCTCAACCTCAGGCAGAGACTTTATGTATTCCAGCAGCAGGGCCTTCATTTGTTCCAACAGCAGGACCTTCATTTGTTCCAACAGCAGGACCTTCATTTGTTCCAACAGCAGGACCTTCATTTGTTCTAACAGCAGGACCTTCATTTGTTCCAACAACAGGACCTTCATTTGTTCCAACAGCAGGACCTTCATTTGTTCCAACAGCAGGACCTTCATTTGTTCCAACAGCAAGACCTTCATGGTATATGAAGCCCGAGACTGTAGATGTGGTTTTGGAGGAAGATCCTCTCCCGAAATTAGTGTCAAGTAAAATGGAACTGTGTATGTGTGGTTTGTGCAACCCTTAATGTTTTTTTTTCTTTTCTTTTGTTATTTTTAATGTTTCTTCTTCAAGTGTAATGTGTGTTTATATGTGTGTTTGTGTGAGGAATTCTTTTCTTGTAGAATGAATGTGTGTGTGAATTATTTTGAATAAATAATTTTTTTACTTTTTGATAATTTTGTGTGTAAAATTTTATTTACCCTTTCATCATTCTTAAAATTATTTAAAGTCTCAATTTTTACAAAACTATATTAGAATTCGTTGAATTAGTTAAATTGACATTTTTCTTTTCTTTTTGAAATTTTCATTGTAGCATTAATGGTGTTTTCAATTTTAATAATTAATTTATAAATTTACAATTTTATATGTTGTTGTATAATTATTACAATTTGAACGTTATTAGATTCTAAAAAGAAACAAGTTTCTTAATTAATTTAGTATTTCATTTGAACGACAAGATCCGAGATAATATTAAAAACTAATCAGTTTTTTGATGAAAAATAATTAACATGATTGATTTCACTAAAATGTTAAAATAATTTAAATATTATGTAGATATTTGAATTTTTGAAAATATGTAATTGAATTATCGAAAACATTAAATTTTAAAAGTTAGAGGCTAAATTTTATAAGTTTATATTTTAATTTTATCTTTAATAATAAAAAATTTGATAATTGAATTGTTTTCCAATTTTTGGAATTAAAATTCTTCAAAATAGTAAGAATATTTTAAATAAATAAATTATTTAAATTATTTTTTTTGAAAGACTTTCAACTATTCAAAAGGTCTTTATTATATAGACATATATGAAAATTTTAATTATATTAAAATTATTCATGATATCCTAATTTATTATGTTTAAAATTTTTTTTTTTTTAAATATAAAAGTAGAATTCCAATTATTTTTAGTATAATTTTAATCAAATTTCTTAAGTGTTTTAAAAACTTTTGATATTCGATTCTCAATTAGATTTTTGTATTTAAAAATTTTTATTTTCAGATGATTTTAAAATATTCACAAATTGAAACACATTTTCTGTTAAATTTTCAAATTTCAGTCAATTAAAATTTTATTATAATAATAATTTATTAAATAATGAATTTATTAAATAACAATTTAAAGTTATTTGTAAAAAAAAAGCATAAAAGTTTGAAAATTTATGTAAAATGTGTGTCAATAAGGTTATACAAGAGTATACGTCTGGTCCGACAATATGGCGGGTCGAGCGGTTCTCGCTTCGCTCTATATGAGGGGAGAGGCATGAGACCCAGCGAGCGAGTATTGGATAGTGGGCGTGGGGCCTTTCACTCCTCCGCGCGGCGAGTCGACTCCTCCCTCCTTATATTCGCCTGATACATGAGACTCGATTCGAGTCTTTTAGACGTCATTATTTATTAATAATAATTATTTAAAAATTAAAAATTGATGATATCCTTAAATGTTAAGCTACTTTCTTTAAATTTGTATAATTTTTGGTATAGATTTATAGTATACCAAAAATTATTAATAATAATAATTCTTTTATATCAATTTGTAATTCATTTTAACTTTAACAATAATTATTGACCATTTGATTTGTTAATTGTTAATTAAAGCAATAACTTATATTGTATGTTAGTAATATTTTATTTATTTATAGTAATTATTACTATTATATATTTTCCTTTTCTTTTTATTTTATGGTAACAATAATGATGTTTATTAATTTTTTTTATTATTATAGGTTATTAATAAATATATTAATTTATTAATACATTAAAGCTATGGTTAATTATTAATTATCTCTAATTAAAATAGTATCAACATAACAATATTATTATATCATTATTATTTCCAATGTATTATTGTAAAATTGTAATTTATTTATTAGATTGAGATTAGTAGCATTATAATTAATATATTAGTATTTTAAAGTGAATTAAATTTTAAAGCATACTGTGCATTGATTAGTAATCTATTGTTAATAATGTTAAAATTATTTGGTTTTACGTTCGACTTTTATCATTTAAGAGCAAGAATTGATTTGAATTTGAATTATTTGCCGCTCTTTCATGATGGAAGTCAGTGAAGCATGCGCGTCTTACTATTAAGCTGGAGGCACTTGCATGCATTGTCACGTGGTTGAGTGGAACCACTATACGGTTGGACTCGTTTATTTTTTATTTATTTCATTAATGTTGTACTATTGGTGTTTGGTTTCTTCTTCTTTTCCATCTTGTGGTTATTAATAAATAGCACAAGTACAGTTTTCTTACTATGATGATGATTATTATTAGTAGGAGTAGCTGAAAGAATAGTATAAAACCATCTTTAATTGTTGTGATGTAGTCTTTGGCATTTAAAATCCAACTTATAACAGGAATTTCCATCTGTAAACAGATTTATTTTTAACAGATGTTATTTTATATATATATAAATTTTTTTGATTATATATGATATAAAATTATATTTTATTTATTTATTAATATTAAAATTAATTTATTGTTCAATTAGTTTATTAATACTGTATTATAAATAATAAAATTAAATTAAATTAACTGAAGTTAATTTATTTTAATTGTGGAATTTTGTTATTATTATTTCATTAATTAGTTTAATTATATTATTATGATTATGATTAATTAATTATAATTATGGATTTTATTAAATAAAAGAGGAAAGAAGAAGGCAACCACCATTCCTCTTCCTTCTTTTCTTTCGTCTTTTATATGTAATTATATATTTATTTATTTATTTTTATTATTATATATATATATATATATATATATATATATATATATATATATATATATACATACAGTATTTATATTACATGTTATTTATTAATTGTTCAAGATATATATATGCACATATATCCATATATATATATATATATATACATACAGTATTTATATTACATGTTATTTATTAATTGTTCAAGATATATATATGCACATATATCCATATCTTATAATTATTTGAAAAAGTTATATCTAGGGATGTAACAGTCCTCCCTCCTTAGATTATTTATCGTCTCGATGAATCTTAAATTTCGAAGAATTTTACAATGCATTAAAATTTTTTTTTTTTTTTTTTTTTATCGTGGTGATATAATGATGTAATTAATGTAATGGTGTAATCTGATCTGTTCAAGTTTTTGAAATAATGAAAATGTGCTCGAACGTTGTTTTGTCTAGTTATATTAATTTTATCTTTATGTTTATAATTGTGTGACATTGTGTTGATGTAGTGTTTAGAATGAAAACGTGCAATGTAACTTTTATTCGTATTTCTGAGGTAAGTAGTTTTTGATCCTTTTTGAACTTTGTCTTCTTTCGTCGTCATACAAGTATTTCTTATAATCATCAGTTTTCACAACCATGTGACTTTATACAGTTTCTTCTTGGGGAGTGTCCTAAGTTAGTTTCTATTACATATTCGACAATGGAAGATCGTTGTTCTTCATCGGCATCCACCATTATTTTTACAAAAGAAGAAGACGGAACTATTTCTACTACTACTCCAGGTGGCTCTTCTTCATTGAGTAAGTAGTTTTCAGTTTGATTTTGTCTTTTAATAAGTGAAATGTCGGAAGAACTCGAAAGTAGTATTTTTGATTCAATTATTGATAATGAAATTACAATTTCTCCTATAATTACATCGGTTGATCAATGTATTGAAGATTTTGATTTAAATTTGTTCGAAAATTGTTCTGAAAATTTGCCTTGTGAAACTAGTGTATCTAGCGGAGTTTCTCTTACGAAATTTGAAGGGATGTTATGTAGATTGCGTCGTGTCGAAGCAAAATTTGGTTATTTTTATTTGGCTTTATGGAAAGTAAAATTTCACTGTGCGGTTCAAGTAATTGTTAGAATTTGTCGAGAGAGGCTTAATTTAGAGGTTTCAGAAAATGATTTTCAAGTGGTTCATGCTTTAGAGTCAAAACGTGCTGGTGTACTTTTACAAGTGTCATCCATTTCTCTTAGAGATAAGATTTTATCTCATTCTCATGACTTTTTGCGCGAAGGATTTAATGTGACCTTGGAATAATTGATTGTTCTTCTTCTTATTTTGTTGTTATAGATAATGCAGCATCGGAGTCTTCTTGTGAACTAAACAATTTTCTGCACAAAATAAATGCTATTTCGATTTCTCTAATGCACCATTTGCAAATTGTGGAGAACATTGAGGAAATTGGGCTTGTGGATGTGAAGCGCAAAAGAGGTCGTCCAAGTAAGGCTTCTCGATTCCGGTTACAAAATTTAAAAATGATTCGACAATCACAATTAGATCAAGCAAAAAGCGAAGGCAAGGAGGAAGCCTTTGAATTGAACCGGATTATTACCAACTTTATGTGGAATTTTCCTGACGTTGTAGATTCCTTAACTTCAACTTCTAATACAACAGGGTAAATTGTTGATTTATGTAATATGTCTAATTTATATTATTTTGTTTTTCATTTTGATTTAAAATGTCCCCTTTTTTTATTGTTTTTTTTTGTTTTCAGGGAAGAATTTTCACGTTGTAAATTCTGCATCTGTGGTCGAATTTATCCTCCAACATACTTGTATGGGAGTTGCTTTTGCGGCGAGCTGTTGGCGGATCGTTCGGAAGAAGATTAATTGGTTTCTCCATTTTTTTTGTTTGTGTTGTTTAATAATTTGTGTATGAGTTTCATTTTTAATTACTTTTACTTATTGGCTAAACTGACAGAATTTTGTTTCTTAAGTGTATTTGATATATTGTATTTTACATCGTCTTAAAACTAATTATTTTATTTTTTTGGGCACCTGATATCATTAATGTTTTAATGTGTATTAAATAAATATGGTTACTTTGAATTTTTGGTTTTATTACTTGTTTAAAATTGATCCTAAAATAACAATAAACTTTCTATTAATTTTAAATTCAAAAGTATAAAATATAGATATATACACATATAAATTTTGTTGTTCTTGATGATTTAGAGTTTCTGCCTTTATGATATAGCATGTCGTTTTATGAGTCATTCCTTAGTATCAATTCCATACGTTTTATCGCGACGCTACGAACGTTTTGCCTAACACAATTAAGGTTAATACATAGTACGGAGACGTTCGGATGATGTACAAGGTTGGTGTGTATACAGGGTGTGTCGCTACGGTGTGGATGGAGAGAGAGATGGAGAGAACGTGTCGCGTGATCTCTCGCGCATGAAAATTCGATAGTTGCGGTCGATATACGTATGACGTCATTATCGGTGTGAACAGTGGAGCGAGTCGTTGCTACTCAAGGCGGAGAGAGATAGAGATAGAATTTGCGCGTCGCATCGTGTCTCGCGCTACAGAATCGATGCAGAGATCGAGGTACGGGTGACGTCACAGACGGCTCGTACACAGTAGTATAGTCGTTGTCATGCGGTCGAAGAGCGAGATAGAGAGGGCGATTCGTGTGATCTAACACACGAGCGAATCGATAGTTACGGATGACGTCAGAGGTCGGTAAAGTATTATGCGTATAATTCGTATATTTTTGAAAATTTTTATAGATAGTCCTCCCTCCATAAAATTTCCATTGTCCCCAATGGCTATCTACAGGCTTGTTGGTTGGTTTGTCCGTCGTCGTCTCATTGAAATTACTTTATAGCAGATATATAAATTTTTAATAACTATTATTGCCAATAATAATAGTAGTAATTTAAATGCGACAGAAATGTAGTCCATTGCTTCGGAAATAGATCCAAGGATTGGGATGTTCATCTGTGGAATGAATATTATAATTAGTATTTTGTATTTTCAGACTTTATTATACATAGGGAATTTTGAATTTTGGGTCTAGGGATTTTTGAAATTTGTTTTTCTTTTTATGTTATGAGTTTTCGTATAAGTTAGATTCTTTCCTTTATTTATTTAATAATTTTGATTACTTATTGTTATGTAGTTATTTGGTTAGTGTTAAAATAAGGAATTTTATTCGTTTTATCGATGCGTATATCGATGTTGGTATTGATTGATATATCGATATGCGATATAATGTATAAAGGTTGTTTTTGCCTTTGATTATTTTATTAATTTTGTTTTTAATTATTCTTTCTTTTATGTATTGTTTGTTATTAATTATTATTGTTATATTAATTAAATGGTTTTTAATAGTTATTTTTATTATTTTTACTATTTATACATATAATTGTATAAGAATGTCGATCGATATTTCGATCGATATTTTGTTATAATGTTGATTATAATTTGGATATAATTAATTTAATTAATTATATTTTATTTGTTAAATAATAATTTCTTTAATTATATTCATGATTTTGCATGTAATTTAATGCATTTGTCATTTCTGTAGAGCATATATTGATGTTGTTATCGATCGATATATATCGAAGAGCGATATGATGTGTAAAGGTTGTTTTTACCTTTATTGTGTTAGTAATTTATATTGAATTTAGTTGTTATATTATTTATTTCTGGTTTTAGTATCAATTTTGTTAATTGTTAATATTTTGTTAATTCTATTTTAGAGAAAAAAATTTTTAAAATAAAGAGGAAAGAAGAAGGCGACCACCAAATCCCCTTCCTTCGTTTTCTCTCGTCTTTCTTTTAATAATTTTATTTAATTTATTCATTTAATCAATACAGCATAGTTTTTCTTCAAGAGTTATTTAAATTATCTTATTCTATTCTTTACTTTTGCAATATAGTGTATTTTAAAGATATTTAGTAATATATATATGTATATCGATTGAGAATTTCGATTGACATCTCGAACGATATATCGATCGATGTATCATTCGATTATTATTCAAATTTTAGCATTTTTCGATTATATATTGTGTCTTATTATTAATTTTTTAGCTTATAATTGATTTATTATGGTAATTTCATAGTGAGAATTTTAAAATAAAGAGGGAAGAAGAAGGCAACCTCCAAATCCTCTTCCTTCGTTTTCTTTCGTCTTTCTTTTAGTGATTTTTATTTTTATTTATTAATTTTGTGACTACACTTTTAGTCTAATTTAATATATACATATATAATGTGGATAATATAATTTTATAGTTTTAATTCTTATTTGCTTATAATAATATGAATATAGTATTAATATTTAATTGTATATTAGCTTAGTTTTTAATTATTTTTCATATTATTATTTATTTAGTTTTATTTATGTATATATATGTGTGTATATATTATAGGTTATTTGTTTTATAATGTTAGGATTATTTGCCATTCTTTATTATGATATTAATCGAAAAAGGCTTCTGGAGAATCCCAAGAGTCATTTTGAGATTTTTCAGTTTCTGGAGTGTCCCAGTTTTCATTAATAATTTGAGTAATATTTGAATTTTCAATTGGTGTTCCTGGGATTTCCCAGAATTCGTCGTTATTAATAGTATTTTTCTCATTTTTAGGTAGCAACTTTTTGTTTCTTATTGGCCCTGTGCATTGAAATTTTGTGTGCCCTCTTAAAAAGCAAAATTCGCAGCAGTTAGTCCATTTAAATAGTTTAATTTTTAGTTTTGTTTGCTCTTCTTGAGCCATTACATAAATTATTCCTTTATGATTAATTTCTTCTTCTTCCTCGCTAAAATAATAGACGTCATTGAGTAGTTTTAAGATTTTTCTAGCTGTGGCGTGTTCGCCATCTTTGATTTTTCTTTGTTCTTGAGTTTTAGCGACGAACTTATTGTTGTTAGCTAAATCTGTTACAGTACAAACCACATCATAACGTCTGTTATTCGGAGGTCCCGAGACCTTATCTACTTTATAAATAGGTTTAGTTAAATTATATTCTGCTGTAAGTTCTTCTAATATTCCTTTGGGAAATTCTATATCGTTTATGTCTCCTTTTGGAAACAAATTGAGAATGATGAATTCTCCTTGGAGAGGAGGTGTATGAAGTACCAACTCAGCCATCTATGATACATAAAATAGTGTTATTATTTTTATTCATAAGCTAATTTTAATTTATCAATATGTTTTTGAAACCTTTGACCCTCATTTGTGATTAAAATTGCGGTATGTTTGTCTAAGATATCCACAATTTCGTACGGCCCGTGATAATAAGGTTCAAATTTACTTTTCTTAACTTCTCTTAGAACGTAGGCTTTGTCTCCTATTTTTCCTAAAAAGGGTTTAGTCTTTTTGTCGTAGATTTGTTTGGATTTAAGTTTGGACTCCATAAGATTTTTCGCGGCCATGTTTCTTATTTCTGTCAACCTAGATATTAATTCTACTAAATATGAACCGTACGTTTCGAGTTTTTCTTCTGAAGGAAATGAACTAGGGGTTCGCGCTGTTTTTCCGAAAATTAATTCGAAAGGAGTGAAATTCGTTGCTTCATGAACAGATGTGTTATAAGCAAACATACAAAAGGGTAATAATTTGTCCCAATCGTCGTAGTTTTCAGAATATTGTTTTAGAAAATCTACAAGGACTATATGGCTTCTTTCTAAGCTGCCGTTTGTTTGAGGTCTGTATCCTGAAGTTGTAACTTGTTGAACTCCAAAGATTTTAGATAGTTTTCTCATGAGTTTACTTATAAATCCTCCTCCTTTATCAGTTAAAATCGTCTTAGGGGTTCCATATTTGGAGTATAATTCTGCAGCTACAGCATGTGCTATTGTTGTAGTTGAAACATCAGGGATTGCTACTGCAATGCAATATTTTGATAAATGGTCTTGCATGGTAAGTATATGGCAATTACCATCAGGAGTCGTAGGGAGTTTTCCTACTGTATCCAAGGATACTTTATCAAAGGCGTCCAGTGGAGTGTCCGTAATTAGCATTGGTTCTCTAGTTTTTACTCGAACAAGTTTTTGTTCTTGGCAAGTTGGACATTTTCTTATGAATTCAGTTACTTGGTCTTTGAGACCAGTCCAGAAGAACTTTTCACGTATTCTTCGATAGGTTTTTGTGACACCTTTATGTCCTCCAATTTTACTGTTATGATATTCTTTGATTATATCTTCTCGTATTTCTTCCTTTGGAATTGTAACTGTACCATAACATATAGTGACTTTTATGTTACTATTTAGGAAAATTGTATCTATTATTTGTAGGAGTTCTCCTTTCATTAATTCGTCTGTCAAATCATTTCTTCTGGAGATTCGAATTTCCTTCAACTTTTCGTTTTGGAGAATGGTTTTTAGTTTTTGTAATACATCAAGGACATCCTTCTTTATTAATGGATCAAAGTGATTGTGTTTCACTATTAACGTGTAAATATTATATTGTCCTCGAGGAGTAATCAGTATTTGTCCTTTTTGTGGATTTTTTTAATTTTATTTCTTGAGGATCAATTGCTCCTATGTCAATGAGTAATCTTCCTATAGGAGTTAAAATTTCGCAATCAGCAGACAGAAAATGAGCGTAGTTATTTCGATAGTAGGTTAGATTTTCTCTACAACTGTTTATGTTTAATGATAAGGATTTTTTTTATTTTTGGAATTTCTGGTGGAATGCTATCAATAGATGTTTCTAATTTTGATCTAATTGTTGTTTGGTCTTTTAGTGGTTCGTCATCTGATGATTGATTTTCTTCATTTGCTTCTTCAGATTCAGATGTTTCTTCTTGTATTGTGGGATGTTTGAAGGGTGTTGATATTGCAAGAGGTTGATTAAAGCTTAAAGGTGTTATAGATCTTCT